TTCTAGGTCCGCTAATCCTCCTTCTTTACATCAATGATATTTCGACTGAACTCGGAAATTCGCAAACTTTTATTTATGCCGATGACCTCATGTGTGTTTACTCATATTCTTAGGACACAACAAGTGTTTTTGTTGAAAAAATTAATGCCGATTTACTTCGCTTAAGCAGATATGGTTCAACATGACAGAGGGAGTTGTCATCATCAAAGTGCAGTTTCATGTCTTTTGGTCCTGCCAAACTTCCTGGTCCCATAATTTTTCAGAAAAACCCACTCTCAGAATGCTTCACCATAAACGACCTTGGTTTAAGTTATACAAATAAACTTCTTTGATCACCTCATGCAGATAGAATTTCTGCCAAAGCCGCGCAGATATGTGGATTCATATCACATAATTTTTCCCTTCCGGAAACGAAGCTAAGACTTTATCAAATGTTTGTTCTTCCAGCCCTCGAATACTGCTGTCCTTTCTTTGATTTAATGAACGCCTGTGACCGTTATAAGATCGAAAATGTTCACAGGGTTATCACCCGAAAACTGTTCTCTCAAGTCGCACCCGGTACTTCTTATACTCAGAGATGTCAGCTGGCGAACACTAAGTTTTCATGGGTTAGAAGACTCGAAGCTGGCCTTTGCTTCCTTTTTCGCATCAACTCTAACTCCATTCTTCCGCTCATTGACACTCTCACTCCGAGAGATCGGCCTTATGCCACGCGCAAATCCTGCATGCTGATTCCGCCGCCCCTTTGCACTACATCAAAGCGCTCCCTCTTCTTTGCTTCCAAATATGCTTTCCTTTGGAATAATCTTCCGCCTGAAATAAGATAATCGCCTAAGTTAGTGGTATTCAAGTCGAAATTACGCAAACACCTTACACCCGTAAGCATAAAGGCACTGTTAACGGTCTCATTCACGAACACTCAACTTCTTGACTTCGAGAAGGGTCCTCCTGGGATTTAGTGGTAGATAAAGTGGTAACTCTTAATTATATCATTAGAAACCCCTGTTTTGAATTGATTTCTAAATCCACTGCTATCACTCCTCCCCCATAGCGTCAATTTTCGCGGTTTTTGATGTCATCTCCCGCGTTTCGACCTCACTCCTTCTGTCGACGCTCACGGCGGAACCCTCAGTATTCGCCGTCTACTAGTAGTTTGGTCGTGCATCCCTTCCCCACTCCTCGACTGGTCTCGAAGCGTACTGTGGCCGATCGCGTCTGGGTTCCTCTCGTCTGGCCACTTGGACGCGAATAGTCTCATGCGGCGTATCAATCCGGCCCAGACGATGTCCGTTCTGAATCCCATATGCAATACTACATGCAGGCCAGTCCTGTTCGACCCGCATATGTACCCCTCCAGGCTGACATTTATTTCTGCCCTGACGATGTCCGATTAAAATCCGTTATATACCGCCACATGCAGGCCAGTCCTGCCCGCATTTTTCTGTTATTATTATGAGCGACGGTTTTTTCTCTTCTGCAAAATTAGCCCAATCATATTTTAAGTTCTTAAGTGGAGTTTTTTAACTGTTCGCTCATCATTTTTCTTAACGGACTACAAATTCAGAAACTATGAACTGTATTTTTTAGATATTCCGACTACCTCGTCTAAAATTGATATGTAAATTTATTTTTAGTTGCTTTGATGGGACCCCGATGAGTCTTTAACAAAACTTATTTATTCATATATACGCTTTAAAAATGTGCATCCGTTTACATAGCTATATAGGTACAATATACCAGTCCTCGTTTAGTAACCAGATGACCATCAGTTAAAATGTTATCATGTCTTCTTTTAAATACCTGGAAACCTTCCGCATGCGGTTGCCTTTCCCCATCTGCCCTAGCCGCAAGTTCCTGTCTCCGCATTTATCTATGTGCTCTATGGAGCAGTCATATAGTTAAGGGAACATGAGTTCAACCGTAGATCGGGGGACCTAGGTATTTCACCATCTGACATAAGAGAACATGAGCAGGAGATGTAACTCCTGCGACAGGTAATATCTTTGTATCTCCGCTTACGTAATCTCGAGTAGAAATAAAGTCTGCCGCTATCAGGTGCTTTGTTGCCGTCACCTCGTTGTTTTCGATAACCACAGCGGTCATCAGTTCCATCAGGCTCTTGTGGATTTGAACTCAGGCGCTTGACTGGATATGTCATGTGAAATATACGACAATAGTTGTCAGATGCATGAACCAACAGACAAGTTTCAGTGATCATGGGAACAAAAAGCATGAGAAGGGTGAGCACTTGTGCACGGAATCTATTCAACAAGTTGCACGAAATTTAACTGATCACGGACTATTTGCAACCTTATAGCCCCAAACGGAAACATGTCAATTGAGCAGATAACATACGCAGAAGTTACGCTGGAGGGGTTCCAGATAATGCGCATTGCTCGAAAACGACGTTGAGATGGGATGATTTCAGCGTTTATATGGAATATTATTAACTACGTCACTAGTGGATCTTCAGCAAAAAGGATCATTGGTCGCGAAGTCCTTAATTGTAAAATGGGAGTACTAAATCAACCGGCCCTCGATAGTGCTCCGTATGCAAAGCCCCAGGGCAGTCGAAGGACACAAACGATGTGCTCATCAGTCCGTATCAAGCACGGAATGATACGCGATGATCTAAACACTCCAGACATCGACTGGTAATCGGCGAAGTGCACGAGAGCTGAAGACACATTTAAAAAAGGTGTTACTTCATTTGTTTGCTGATGAATTCCTTATTCAGAATGTTACACTAGAGACGCAATTCCTAAGTGTAGAGCAGTCAAGTTGATCATTATTCACGGGCTCAGTTTTTCTCCTTCTGAACCATCCAAATTATCCAAAAACGCTACCGCCTATATTTACCTCTTCGGGAGGTTTTTCAATGCAGGCTCGGTCCTTACTAGTTCTTTGACAATGCCTTAAAATAACACTAAATTAAATTATTATTATTATTAGTATTATTATTATTGATAGGGGTGTTAACTGCATCCCTGGACCGAGTTCTAACATAACTCCGGTCCGAAGCAGTCATTGCGCTTCTGTCTGGGAGTACAGTCATTTTTATGTACCCGAAATTGGAGCATTAAAGTAGGGAAATGTATAGAATAGAGATTATTCTGAAACAAAAGGACTACTGGGTGAGATAGACTGGAACCCTCTAAATGTGTCTAACTCAAACGCCACCTGGCCTTTCCTCAAAAGGTCGATTCGGCTCTTGGTAGATGACGGCTGTCTCCTTAAAAGGAGATCGCGCGTCCCTCAACCTGAGTGAGTGACATCAGAAAGAAAAAAAGAGCCTAGAGAAGAAACTGAGACTGTGGAGGCGATATGCCAGACGTCAACAGTGTAAAAACGTCTGGGAATTTAAAAACCAGTGGACTGGGTGTCGAAATCTACTGAAAAAAGGAACGAGCAGCATCTGAGTATAAATTGTCAAAGGAATACCGAAAAATCCAACAAAAATCTTTTCATACGTGAATAAGGCAAGACGCAATCGGGACTCCATTCCTTCCCTAAAGGATTATGAGAGAAATACGTTAGCCGACAACTCAAATAAGATGAATCTCTTGCCCGATTTCTTTGTGTTTGTGTATGTCGAAGGGCCACCTTTCGATGAGAAAGCACATAATTACAATGTCACATCTGGAGGTACAATTGGCACGGTGGTGTTTACAGCAGACGCAGTAAGGGAGGCCCTGGGGCAGGTACAGCCCAACAAATTCTCCTGGTCCGGATGACGTATTTGCAAAAGTTCTGAATTAGCTTCTAATCCAATTGGTGTCCTCACTCTCTGAGATCTTTTAAAATTCGACTGGGGCGGTGGCTCTGCCCAATGATCGGAAGCTAGTCAGCGTAAGCTTCGCATATAAAGAGGGAGAGAGAAACTCATCAAACAGCTTCAGGCCAATGAGTACCGCAAGTATTTGTAGCAAATTAATGGATAAAATAATAAAAGCGGAACTAGCAAGGCATACTGTGGGAACAACTTGCCTAGTGCGCATCAACATGGAGTTCGAAGCGATCGATCCTATTTCACTAAACTGCACTCATCAATCGAAACCTGCATAAAAGATTCAAAAGTGGATTTTTCGGCAGATGTAGTCTACATTGATTCAAATGCTTTTTAAAGTGTTCCACGCAGATGGTCAGTATATAAACTGAGCCCGATGGGTGTGAATGGGAAACTACTCAAACATTTTACTGACTCTCTCACAGAAACACATAAGCGTGTTTGTATTAGTGAAGTCACATCTGAGTGAGAAACTGTTCACGGTGGGGTTCGCAAAGGAAGCTTGTGGGTCCAATTACAATTTTGGAATATGTGAACGAATATCTTGATTGCATGACCTGCGAGAAAGTTATGTTCGCCGCGGCTTAAAGAAATGGAGAATGCTCCGAACATGCGAAATAACTTGGATCGATTGTTCGATGCTAAAATGTTAAACTGACCGATACTCCTAATCAGCGATTCCCAACACCAAATAATTTCTATTACTTGTGTAACTACAGCTACAAACAGTCCTCTATACATTTTGCACTCCAAGGTTGTGGTCCTAATTTGCAAAGAAATCACCACATACTCTTTGTGTGTCTTGTTCTTCACGTACTGGTGCACGCTCTTAAATAGAATAGATTTGGTATTCGAAAACAGTGGCTCCAGATGATCTCAGTGAGTTGAGATGTACAGTTTTAATTTCACGATCACAAAGGTCCATGCATAAAAACCCCAAGTTTTTCCGGAAATCAGTGAACTTTTGACGATCTTGCACTTTACCTGGTACCGTATGCAGATGAATGGATACCCAGTATGTATTACTTGATTATAAGATTGTCCTGCCAGCTATACGCAGGAGCAGTTACACAAAATTGTTCAGTTGTCGGGGAGGATTTGGTGCATATTTTCGATGTACTTTGTTTCCAGTTGGTTGCAATAAGACGACGGATTGTTTAAATGAATCAAATTCGTCGTTGTCATACCAATAAACTCTAGGACAGTTTGCAAAATGAGCCAACGCCAAGTCCTCCAGGGTTTTAATGTTTCTTCTCTCTGACACCACATTTTCTAGTATTTGACCAGTATCAGAAATCACGAGTCCAATTTGTGCAAACGGTTGCCGAGCTCTCGAATAGACCTCAAAATATAGAGACACTGTTACAATGTGGTGTGTTATCACTTTTGAGGCCCCTGTTACTTGACGTTGTGCCGAATGTCCAGCAGAACGCTGCTATCGCAATTGGGAGACTAGCAAATCACAGCGAAGAGCTGGCAAGTTGCGTTGTGAAATCTGAAATACTCCCACAACTCGTATATTCCATATCTGAGCAGAATGTATGTTGTTCGGATTAATTTTGATATGTGCAGAGGTTTTACAAGAAAGCTGCTGCGTTTGTCTTGCGATCCGTGGCTAAACACTCGGCTGAGCTTGCTGAAAAGGTGGTCGAATCTGGAGCACTTGACTCACTTGTGTCATGCCTGGAGGAATTTGATGTCGGTGTAAAAGAGAATGCCGCATGGAGCCTGGGATACATCGCGCGACACAACGCCAACCTAAGTCAGATGGTCGTCGACGCCGGAAGTATTCCGCTACTCATACTTTGCCTTCAGGAACCTGATAATAATCTCAAAAGAGCGGCTGCTAGTTCATTGGGTGACATTGCGAAACACTCCCCTGATCTGGCCCAAAGTGTTATCGATGCTGGCGCAATTGCCTATTTATCTAAACATGTCACGAATGCATGCCCCAAACTCAAAGTAAATAAGTTTAAGTTTCATATTAGTCTCAGAGACAAGCCTTTGCGTCCCTAGCACAAATTGCAAAGCATACTGCAGACTTCGCCGACCTAGTTGTTGAGTCCGAAATCTTCCCCGCCATCTTAATATCCCTCAAGGACAAAGACGAAGGAGTTCGGAAGGAATGTGCAACGCTCATACGGGAGATATGCAAACACACTTTGGAACTAAGCCAGCTTATCGTTAATTCGGGAGGAGCAGCCGCAATCGTTGACTACATAGGCGAGGCCTACGGGAACGCCAATCTGCCTGGGATAATGGCCCTAGGCTACATCGCCGCGCACTCCGAGAGATTAGCAATGGCGATAATTCACTCACTTGTAAGCCAGAGTTTTAAATTGATTGCCCTAGGGAATACCTCAACTCAAGTCGGCGCTGGTGAAAGAAAATGAGGATCATGTAAAGGCCGCAATAATCTGGTCAATCGGTCACATAGGCCGCCACAGTTCGACACATGCCAAAGCGGTTGCAGATG